GCAGCCAGCAACACCAATGAAGAGCTTTCCAGTGACCAACAAGGAATTCTCATAAGTAGTGTAAAGGAGGTTATCAAAGAAATGGATGACCAGGAAAAAAATGGGCCAGGCATATGGTTAGAGGGATGGATAGATCAGCACCATTCTATTGTTTTCTGTGTGATAACAAGAGAATATGAGCATGGTGGAGGCACTGCCTATGGTTTATTTCTGGGAGGACATGGGTGAGTCACAATGGGATCTCTGGCAGGAGCACCTGCTTTGGTGAGATTTTGTTGTTGTTAGCAAGTTGTGAGCCCATTTGGGGGTTTTCTTTGCAAATATACTAGAGTGGTTTACTATTTCCTTCTCCAGTGCTCATTTTACAGAGGAAGAAACTAAAGCAAGCAGGGTAAAGTGACTTGCCCAGGGTCACACAGCTAGTAAGTGTCTGAGGCCAGATTTAAACTTAGGTTTTCCTGACTCTAGGCCCTGCGTTCTACTGTGCCACCTAGATGATTATAGATATCCATTATAGTACTAGAGTTTAATCAGTTAACCACTATAACATTTATACCTACTATGTGTCAGGCACTTTATTAAGCACTGTATGATACAAAGACAGATGCTGAACAGTCCCTGTCCTCAAGGAACTTCTGTATCAAAAAAGGAGATCTCCCTCTCTCTCTCTCTCTCTCTCTCTCAAGATAAAATATAGATATATGCATTATAGTTATAGAATATGTGTGGATAGATGGTAGGAATTTAGATAGGAAGTGCCACCTTCTAATCCAAATGAAATATTTGATGACCGTTTTAACTGCTAGTGCCCTCCCTAACTCCTTTGTATCTAATTTGTATTTGTTTATATTTATTCTGTATATACATATGTTCTCTGTCTCTCTCTCTCTATATATGTATATATATATTATATATATACAATTAGAATGTAAGCTCTTTGAGAGTAGAAATTGTTTCATTCTTTGTATTTGTAGCCCTAGTATCTAGCACCATGCCTGGTACATAGTAGGTGTAATAATAGGTACTTAATATATTCTTGCTGATTGATTGATGGGGTTTCAGAAAAGGGAAACATAAATCATATTGTATAAGAACCTGGATACAAATGAAGTGGCCCTTCTCTTTAGTGAATGTTTTTTTTTCAGAGTGGTACCGTAATAATTGGTACTTGGTCCCCTCCAAGATATCTGCATTATCTAGCTCTGCCCTCTATAGACCATCATATCTTTGGGGATTCCTTATAGGAACACCTGTAGGCAGTACAGAGACAGTCTACTCTGGACAGACTTATTTATTTTCTTTATGTCTAAATGGGATGGATAATCGGCATTGGACTTCCCAATGAATGAGCTGGGTTGAGAAGTCCTTTTTTCTCCATAAACATCAGCTTGTGCTCTGTAGGGAGAACAGGAGCCATAGCAAAGTATGAGCAGAGCAAAAGGTAGGCTTTCTGTGCATCCCATCCCCAGCTTGCAAGCCTCCAAGGCCCCAGAGAACAAGGATGGCTTTAAAAAATATCAGCTTCCTTGAAGCAAGAGATGAGTGATGTCAGACGACAGAGTTGTGACAGGTGTTCACGGTTGGGTCCCGATTGTTTTTGTCTGTACTCGACTTAGGGGAGGGAATGCACAAAAGGAGGTGCCATCCTGCAGTGACACAAGCCAATTGCAGGTTGATCAGAGAACAATGAAGTGTTGGGAGTCACTGTAGAGAGACTGTCATTCCCAATGGAATCACTGTTTAGTCTTCATAGCACTGCTGGTTGACACCATTGAAGGGGGAGGGAGCTGTGATTAGCTGCCATCTTACTGGCATATTTTTTTCCTTACTGAAAATGGAAGATTAATAAAAGAAAGTGCTTATTTCCTTACTTCTGGGATAGCCCATCGTTAAGAGATGAAGGTTAAGAAAAAATAAAGAAAAAGAGACTGAGTTTCCTAGCTCCCAGTTCTTCTGAGGGTTAGCTGCCTCCCTCCCCCATCTCCAGGGTTGCTTAGAAACAAGAGGCAACATGATGTAATGGAAAGAGTACTGAATTTGGACTCATAGGACCATTGTCCGAATCCTGGCTCTGTCACTTCTTATCCATGTGACCTCAATTTCCCTGGTCCATGTCTTTGGCCAATCTAAGCCAGGACATAAACCCATTCTCCTTCCAGTGGTCATTCAATTTCCCTCACCACCAATCAGTTTCACCTGACAGACTCAGTGCCTTTCCAACTCACAAGGTCATCTTTAAACCGGGACATATCCATCTTGAGAATGATGTTTTGTCACTTATTCTGGAAAAGAAACACAAATAGAAAAAAAAGGCATCCAGGGACCCAGTATCAGGCTCACCTAGACAAGTGATAAGCTGTAGCTGTCATGTGCTCACAGCCACTTGGTGGCCACCATGGGAGATAGGGTGAACTATTCTTTCCCCCCGCCCCCGCCCCCATAATGTCACCTGGAGTGTTGAAGGAAGAAAAAGGTGGAACATTTCTTTCCTTTGAAATGGATGAAGCACTCTGCTCCCTGTGCTGCATTCAGAAAGTCAGAGGACGACCACATGACCAAAAATATTAGGGATATTTTTGTGTTTAAAAAATGCAAAAGAAAGAAAGAAAGAAAAGAAACCTAGAGCTAAAGTCTTGCTCTTGACCAGGGTCACCAGGAAAGCAATTTTCTTGAAATATGGGGTTGTAGGGATCAGATGCTAATGATGGTCCTGGACAGCCATATTTACCCCCAGGTATACCAGGTTTCTGATAGTTGAAGCCTAAATGGGAAAGAATCAGGCACTTTAAGTTGCTGGTAAGAAGGGTGGGAGATGCTATTTCTTATCTAGTGGTAATCTAAATGTTTGCCACATCATACCAAAGTGTAGAGTCACCCACATGTGGTTAGCTAGGAGCCCCAAGGTTAATTTGCACGTTCTCTGTTTCAGACCTGAATTATTGTATTCACCTTCAGGTGCCATGTTTCAGACAAGCAGTCAATCAATCAGCCAGCAATAATTTATTAAGCACTTACTGTATGCTAGGCACCAGGACACAAATACAAACTGATATACATTGCCCTAGTTGGGTCATGTCTGGAGTCTTGAGAGAGATTCTGAGGGGCACTATTTAGGAAGGATGTTACTGAGTTGGGGAGTTTCTAGAGGAGGGCAGCCAGGTTGGTGATGAACCTCAAGGTCATGCTGTCTGAGTATCCATGGGAAGAAATGAGGATTTTTAACAGGCTGAAGAAAAAGGGTTGGCGATAGGAGTCATGATAGCTGTCTTTGGGTGGTTGAAGCCTTATTCCTTTTGGCTCTAGGGGGCAGAATCAACGTCAGTGGGTAGACCTTGAAAAAAGTCACATTTAGGCTTCAGGAAAACATTGACAAATACGTCATTACCATTGGAGCTACCCAAAAGCAAAATGAACCACCCCAAGAACTACAATGGTTTCCACTTACATTGATAATCTTCGAGCAAAGGCCAGACAGAGACCACTCGTCAGGGATGATGGAGAGGGGATTCTTAGTCAGATCCAAGTTTGACTAATCGTGGCTAGTATTTTTATTAATGCTCTAAACTTTTTAAAGCAATTTGCATGCATGATGCCATTTGAGTCTCACAACAGCCCTGGGAGGTGGGTTTTCATCCTCATTGTACAGATGAGGAAGCTGAGGCTGAGAGAAGTCACTTGCCCAGGGTCACACAACTATTAAGCAGGATTTGAATTCAGGTCTTCCTGACTCCCAAATCTAGGCCTCTATCCACTGTACCACCTAGCTGCCTGCGATAACTTAGTCACTTGAGGTCCCTTCCAGCTCTGAGATTCTGTAATTCTATAATCCAGTTACACACAGGCAGAGTGAGATCAGGGAAGGTATATGGAAATCAGTGGCCCAGGTCATACACTCTTTCCTCTCTGACCCTCTCTCCATTCCCCTCCCCTACCCCTATTCTTTTTTACTTATTTGCTTTGGTTATTCAACCTCAGGCCTCAGCTCAGCTGTCACCTGCTAAAATCTGACTGTAGAAATTGTTGATCCCAGCTTTTGTCCCTCATCTGGCTCCATATTTTATTTCCCTCCATCCACGCTGTTCTGGAGCCAAATTATTGTGACTAATGTTGAACTGTAAATTTTTGTAACCATCTACAGTAGCGCTGTCTGTGGGTGATGCATGGTCTCTTTTTAGTAAATTTAGGGATATTTTTGTGTTCAAAAAATGCAAAAGAAAGAAAGAAAGAAAGAAAGAAAAGAAACCTAGAACTAAAGTCTTGCTCTTGACCAGGGTCACCAGGAAAACAATTTTCTTGAAATAAGGGGTTGTAGGGATCAGATGCTAATGATGGTCCTGGACAGCCATATTTACCCCCAGATATACCAGGTTTCTGATAGTTGAAGCCTAAATGGGAAAGAATCAGGCACTTTAAGTTGCTGGTAAGAAGGGTGGGAGATGCTATTTCTTATCTAGTGGTAATCTAAATGCACACAATGAATCAGGGGGTGTTTGTGCCAGGTGACTACCTTTCCTGTTGGCCTTCCCTTAACACCGTCATCTAGCTTCAGTGTTCAATTTATTTATTTCCTAATACGGGTTGATGGATTAAAAGGTGTGTAGAAAATCCTTCTCCGGGAGATAAGATATTACCGGCTGCCAAAAATACCCCTAGCCTCTTTCTCTTTCCTTCTCTGTTTTGCTTACTTTTCAGCCGATAGCTCAGACCCAAGCTCATATATCTTGATTAGACGGTGGGTATTACTAAGAGGATGTTTCTTAAGCCCATCATTGACACATTTAATTCATTAGGTACCAAATCCACAAGCAAATTTTTTTTTGCCAGCTATGAAACATGGTTAATCCAGGGAGCTACAATAAAAGGTGAAAAATTATGTCCCAGCAAATATAGAATATTGCTTTTCTGTAGAGACTTTTACTGGGCTACGATATCTTTCTTCGTAAATTTCCTCCCCTCCCCTGCTAGCATCTTATGCTAACTTAACTGTTTGTTGTTTTCAGACCACAGAATGGCTCCATGATCCTTTACAACAGGAAGAAGGTGAAATATAGGAAAGATGGATATTGCTGGAAAAAGAGGAAAGATGGGAAAACCACCAGAGAGGACCACATGAAACTGAAGGTCCAGGGGGTGGAGGTAAGGACCCCAGGGGCTTCCTTTATTCTGGAAATGTAATTTCCTCACCTGAAATTGACAAAGGGATTTCTTTGAAGGAATTCCTTGTGGGTCACCTCTGGTGAAAAAATTCTGGGTTTGCTATGTTCCCAGGTTTTGTTTCTTTTTTTTTTCTTCCCTTGGATTCTCCATTAACATTTTGGTGAAAATTGATTTTATTGAAACCACTTCTGTTCCCAGAGAATCGCTGCTGTCTGGTTGGGGATTTGCAAGGTCATGGCAGAATTATTTATTGAATTTATCACACAATAGCCTCGGGGTACATTTACAATTTTAAAATGTCATAGAGGAGATGATGTGCTAACAACCTGCCTTCTCTAAGAGAGCTGACATTGAACAGCTAGGTCTCCCAAGGATAGACTTGCTGTGCCAACTTTATAAGCAAACATCTTGTCTTTAATAGGATTGGTTAAAGTCTTGAGAACACTTAAGGTCTCTATAGATAAGGAGGCAGTGTAGTATTGTGTATACATGGCTGGCTTTGGAGTTGGCAAGGTCTGGATTCAAGTTCTGTTTCTGACACACAGAGATTGTGGACCTGTCAAAGTGAAATCTGTAATTTAAGTAATTAAATTAGTGTAATTAAATAAGTAATTTAACATATCAGTGTTAGAGAGTTGTCCTAGACAATTTTCTGAGACTGTACATTGCAGAGAGGTGGCCAATCTACATTGGTAAAGAGAGATTCTTTATAGGAAACTCCCTACATTAATGGTCATAGGTCAGAATCTGTGCTCTCTCCATGCCCCTCCCCAATACAACATGGCTAAGTGTTCAGTGGGGAATGATATATCTGGTACCTGGAGCTTTTTCTATAGATTCTCTTTCTTTGTGAACAGTGAACTCCTATAGTGAGCAGGTGACTTAACCCCAACATCCCAACCTTAAGATTTTCTTTGTCACAGACTTCAGTAAGGGTGCTCCCTCTTCTACTCTTCCTCGTTGGATGGTGGAAGGCAGACCACAAGTCAAAACAGGCCTTGCCAACAGGAATACCCTTTTGACTTCTGGCCTAGTCTTGTCTGGGGAGTGCCCCCATATGATCTTCCTCCATTGACCTTGGTGAATAGTGGCCTCACCACACGAAATGCAGAGCATGGAAACTTGTTAGGAATGTGGACTAATCCCTTGGGATGTATTCATTCATTCATTCATTGAAAAGTGCATATTCAGGATCTTGGGATAAACATCCACTGGTTATTTAATGAGCATTTATTAAGCATCTGTTGGCTGCCCAGGCATTGTACAAAGGCAAAAATGAAACCTGCCCTCAAACAGCTTACAGTTAATGGCCTTGAATTGTTTCTTACCCCTTTGAGAGACAAAAGGGTAGGCTAGAATCCTTTCCCTCCCTTGGCATCCCTGGGTGGCAGGATTGATAGTTTTTGCCTCTAAGCCCACTTGAGTCCAACGGATTGTCCTCATCTGCTGCGGCTTTCCCACGATGCACTCTGTCACGATGGCTCCTTTAACATTCATCATGAGGCTTTATGGTTGTTAAAAATAGCATCCAAGGACTCTTATTAGATCACCCCCTAGAGAGGAGGAATTTTTGTTTTATGAGCTTTTTTTTTTAAACACCCAATAACAATCTTTATGCTGATGAACAAAGAAAAGGAGAAATTCCTGTTTCCCTTCTTTCTCTCCTGCTCTGCATTTGCACAGCATGATTTAATTGACTGCATGGGACATTAAAATGCAGATTACTCCATGACACAGTGATTCGGAGCCCACCTCCAGAACAGTGGCCAATGATTGTACAGCAAGCTTAGGAGGCTTCTCAATACTGATAGAATCAAGGGCACTGACCGCCATTATTACAGTAAGTGTAGAGTAGAGCAGGGGTCTGTCTTTTCAAAGGTACCACTTTCTTCAGTCAGCCTGAGCTGATCCTGCCAGGGATGTATGAGGACAGAGTTAAACAATAGAATGATATATCCAGATATGCCAGCCTGGGCAGATCCCTCCAGGGCAGGCCAGGGCACATGAAATAGAGAATAGCCCAGGCATGGCTCAGGCCATGAGGAAGAAGGTGGCTGGTGCCATGGGGATAGAGTCTTGCCTTCCCCAGATTAATCTCAGGCTTTGGAATCCACAATAAAGTGAACCAACAAGCAGCCCCTGGCTTGCTAGGTCCGGAGGTATTGGGCATATTTCACCTTTAGTAATACGTAAATCAGGTTTTGGGGAGATTGTAAGGAATAACACAGTGGAATTTTTCTTCTGCAGTATTTCCAAGCTTGGGAAGGGGGAAAAAGACCCAGAATTCATTTTCTTCCCCTATGTAATAAATTAGAATTGTCACTGAATGGAATCTGAGTGACTTATAGTTATTTTTAGGCAGTATTTATGTTTGGGGTTATTTGTAGCTCCCACACTCACAGACTAATGTGTAGACACACAGAGTACCAGCAGTCTGGTGCCTGCAGACCATGTGGGAGGGAGAAATGTGCGAGATCCGGAATGATTCCCATGGATATCCATGTTGTACATAAGTGCATGCTGGGGATGATATGGACGAGAAGCCAGCTCCCCTGAGTAGGCCAGCCAGAGCGTGGGGGTTGGAGACAAAGGTGCTAGGGGGATTGTATTTCCTTTGACCTAGGGTGGGAGGAGGGGAGACAGCCACATCATAGATGATATGACCATGGAATCCTAGATTTTTGGAGCTGGAATGGACCTTAGAGGAGGAAAGTGAGGCTCAGAGAAATTAAGTGATTTGCCCAAGGTCACACATTTACAAGTAAATAGCAGTGCCTGGATTCAAACCTAGTTCTTCAGATTCCAAATCTAACTTTCTTTCTATTGTAGCAATAGAAGCTGAGTGAGCAGAAGTTGCTGGTATGACTCTTGGGCTCAGTTCAGAAGCTCCACCCCCTACCTGGCAATTTGGTCTCCCCTTCCGGGAGGATTGTAATGCCCCCCATGTTAATGATGGTGTGATGTAGTAGGACCAGGGATCCACACCTGTGTTCTAGTACCATTTCTATCATTAGAGCTGTCCCCAAATGTAATGGACTTCCCAAGGAGGTAGGGCATCCATTGCCTATCACTGGAGGTCTACAAGTGGAATCTAGGTCACCTGTAGACTAGTGTAGGGGGATTTTAGACTAACTTTCCGAACCCCTAGATAAACTAGCAGGCTGAGTCCCCAGAGCTGTATCTTCTCTTCAGGGTTCCAGAAGATAAGATAAAGGCTTATGGGATTTTCTCTAATGCTTTTGGCTTGGGTCTTCATTTAGTGTGTTCTCCCCAATGTCAATCACCATTTAAAATCTCGGTATCATTGATACTATTGGAATACTCCATTTTCATTTAGTCAGTTAACACCAATTAACTTTTACAAAGTGAAACAGTCCCTCCCCTCAGGTAGGAAAGAACCCTGTGGGAGAAGTGCAATATACAGGCCACTTCTCTCAAGCAACAATTACCAGTGTTTTTTTCTCATTTTACAGGTAGGGAAGTGGAAGCTCAGTTTAGTTCAGATAGGTGAGATAACTTGACCCCTTGTTCTCTTCCTGTGTCTCTCAAAACCTCTATGATTTCCTTCCTATTGTGAGATTCGGTGATTCTGGGTGTGTACCTTTAAATAAATTGTTCCTTCTCTGAATTCCATTTTCCTTCTTTGTAAAACATCTGGGTTTGGCTCAAGGATGTCTAAGGTCCCTTTTATCTCTGACTGGGTCTACAGGAACTACTGAGAGCTACTTAGACCTTATATATGCCAACCCCCTCTTTGTGTAGAGGAGGAAAGCACAGTGACAGAATTTTCATTTGGCAAAGACCCAAAAGATTACCTTTGCAGCCCTTACGTTGCAATCTTGGCACCCTTCTCGAATCCTCGTATGTACCCAATAGGTTACCAAGTCCTGTTTTTTTCTCCCTTCTCAGCATCCCCAGTATACATTGCTTTTTTTTCTCCATTCAGACAATCCTCACTGTGATGCAGTCCCTTGTCCATCACGTGGGTACCATTGCAGTAGACTTCTAGTCAATTTCCCTACCTCAAGTCTTTCTGCACTCCTGTCCACCCTCCACTCAGCTGCCAAAGTGATTTTCCTAAAGTCATTCTATACAATAAACTCCAGTGGCTCCCTCTTATCTTCTGGATCAAATGGAAAATCCTACATCATTCAAATCCTTCTCCATCTGTCCTCTTCCCACCATTCCAATCTTCTTACACATTTCTACCCTGTAGGTGCTCTACAATCCAGCAGCATTGAACTACATGTTACCTCCCCCATGTGATGCTCCATCTCTCAATTTGATGCCTTTTCACTGGCTGTCCATTATACCCAGAACTACTCTCCCTCCTGTCTTCCGTGGCAAAGCCCACCTGCTCCAAGAAGCCTTTCCTGTGTCTTCCTCCCCTCCCCAAAGTTAGTGCCTTCTGTCTCCTCCGAGATGACCTTCCATTTACACTGTGTCGATTCTGAATGAACATGGTTATTCACACATTGTCTCGCTTAATAGATCATGAGCTCCTCAAAGGCAGGGATTATTTTTTGCCTTTCTTGGCATCTCCAGTGCCTAGCACACAGTAACTGCTTAATAAATGCTTGTTGACTGAATAACTGACTGAAATCTCCAAGAGAGATCACATGCCACAACATGCCTGATCCATGGCCATCCAGCCTCTGCTTGAAGGAATGCAAAGAGGGGGGATTCCCTCCTTCCTGAGGAAGCCCACTCCACTTTTTGGCAGCTTTGATTGTGAGAAGTGAGAACTTATCTGTAAAGTGCTTTGCAAACCTTGGTGCCATATCAATATCAGCTATTATTCAGAAACTTTTTTTTTTTCCTAGAAAACCTACATCGGCCTCTTTGTAACTTCCATTCATGGCTCCTGGGTCTGCCCTCTAGGGTCAAAAATACTAATCCACCGGAGAGTCCTTAAGATATTTGAAGATGGCTCTCATGTTCCCCTCAGGTCTCCTTCATTTCCTTCAAACCATGGACAT